GCATCCAGAGGTGTTTTGTTTTGGAGGCTATCACATCATGAATAGCCATAGCTACAGTATTTTCGTCAATGTGCTGCATCTGCAGCGACACCATGACACCAAAATTACCCTAAGGTGAGGAATATACAACGCCGGACTTTGTTGCGGTTTGCTATACGATTGATAGGTGTGGTCGGTTCGTGTTGAGGATGTTCGGCAGCTTCCTGTTTTCGACCACCGATTTCTTTGAATCATTGCGTGGGTTTGATAGACCCGTCGGGCGAGCAGTGGCGAGGTTTGTCATCATGTGTTGAGTACCAATAGTCGTTCACTAAAAGAGAGCCACTCTGCACTGCTACCGCTGTCTCATGCACAAGATTCATCCAGTACACTCCCTTATCCCAAAATCATTTGAATTTTCCCTACAAACCACATGCTTCTATTTCCAGATTTCTACACCATTCTTTTGAAAATTTGTTGCGTTGGATCCTTGCTTGTTTCCAAGTCTGTTTTAAATGGATCTTTATTCACGGTATAACTGTCATAGTTTCGCGCTCAACGGTGCTCATGAATAATAATTATATGTATGCTTGTTTATTGTCGATCAATAGGGGTTGTAAGAGCACAATGATTATGAACACCAGATAAGAATTTTCAAGTTTCGATCACTTTTCCGTATACTTTATGAGCTTTCAGGTTGTTATACAGTTTCTCTCGTAAAGTTTTCGCATTTACCTGATGCCACGTGGGATGCACGAATTTCATTCCGTATGTACAAAAGGAATTAAAACAATTGTAACCTTCGGAAAAATGGACCGTCTGATCGGTCATGCGATACATTGGTTACAGAAAAACGTACATCAGAAACAAAATATTATATTTGGATGGTGAATGTTTGGGTCAGCCCGTTCGGTTGTTCATAAGCCGTTCGCACGAGGCGATAACCATCGACCATGTAGTTCAAGGTTAAGGGTTTGAAGTCCCAGCCCGAAGAATCGCGGTTCGAGTCCTGACAGGGGCACAACAAGTACGCACTGCTGAGGAGTCCAAAACAGGACAAAACAGTTCTCCAGTGCTCTTTTTTGGTTATCACAAACATTTCTATCGCAATAGAATATTTTATTATCCTTTATTATTTTCTATTTTTTTATTTTGACGGGCTAAAAGTTCGGAATGTCGCGAGTTTTAGTTTGTCTTGACCCCGGTGTTTGGTTGTTACATCTCTTTAGATGAATTCTTTAGATTTAACTATCCCTATTTAACTGCGGCTTTACTTCTACTCACAACTTCATTCACACTAGTGATAGTACTACTAGAGTTCTAACTGTGCCCGTAAAACCGCTAACATTCAATACTCTGCGGATTATGACGATCTTTGGTATCTGTTCACGTTTCCTAACTGACTCGTGACCGTTGATCATGTAACAGATTTTCTTTGCTCATGTTACCCTCCCGCGTCGTGAAAAAACCGACCAGATGGATATAACGTCATTCGATCCCCACGCAACAAAAACGATTTGCAAAGAACCAACGTCAGTGCGTTGCACCAATCTGGCTACTAAATCATCAGATACGTCATTGCTAAAATCTGGCGCTAATTTGCTTCGTTTGAAGCAGCGTTCTTTGCCTGGATCGGTAATTGCCGGCTCGAGAAGCGCTACATCCACCAATGTCCAGGTCGCATCAACGTCATCCACCTCGCACTCTTCGTCAGCCAAGACGTTGTTCAGTCTTTCGACTGATTCGGCTGAGCATCGACCTATTCACGGTCAACGTTCGGTGGATTTTCACCAATCCAGCTCGCATTCAGATATTGCTTCCGGTTCTTCTGGGCCACAGATTAGTGCCAAGGATTGGAAATGGATTAAGCGTGGCAAAAAAGTCTTCTATTGATTCAATTAAAGATTTAACTCACAGGCGAATCTATACTGATCTTCTCAATTCGTATTCCTACCCCGATAGTTGTGTTTTCTGAAGCAGAATATTTCGCAATAGTGAGTCCGGTTTTTCTTTGATTACATCATTACTAATCTTGTCCTAATAGTACACTGTAAATCCGGTGTGGTTTGATATCTGTAATAATGTTTGCAATTTTTCATTGCGATTATAAATCTATGGGCGTTTTTTTGCTGTTTATTTACTTTATATACACATTTTATATATGCATTTTTACCGCAGACCACATATACAGTAACAGGCATCAACGACAACGGCACCAGTCTGTGATATATGTGTTGATTGTTTTATATTACTCTTCAAATGTCAGTAGTCAAACATAAAAATCGCTATTTTTCATTCTAACGATGTTGCCTTGTTTCAAATAATTTGCTTTAGCCGTAGCCCAACTTCCGTTCCGTTGGATTCACTGGGCTCCTCGGGGCACATGTACACATCCCGTCAAGTCCCTCAATCATGGAGTCTTCCACTACCTCCGCAATCGTTCCTCACTGTGTTTTTGAGTGGCATGTACTGCGCGCATCTTCGTTTGCAGTAACTTTGTTATCTGTTTTCGTGGATCGCTGTACAAATTTATAATTAATACTTCGCACAATCTGTGCTTTGTTAAATCTTTTTGTGCTTTCTGAGCCGAATGAAAATCATTCAGGTAAGAAAAATTTCAATTTCGGGAATTACCGTCAAGGTTCTGAATTGTTTACATTACATTGTTTTGCATTCGAAGATGTCTAATGAGAGTAGCTCAGAGTTTTCACGATTATCGCTTCAATTCGAATATCCAAAATACTTCCAGCCTGTTAAAGAGATTACCGTGCATACATTTACGCACCATCTCGAAATCGCCTAGTTCTTTTGCCTTCCTGGTACCAACTGACATCAGACAGTGACGTGACTGATTTTAAAGTTGCTAAAATGCAGTTTTCTTGAGCTAAATAGGCTGCTGAACTTGACAATTTGCTCAAGTATTACTGAGATAATTTTTATTTTCAATAACATGTCCAGCGTTTTCATGCGTGTTTGAAAAACTGTCCGACTTTTTGATTGATCTCACACGAGATCCGTTTTGATAAGCGATATTATTTGGAAACCAACATTATATGTAACTCAGGAATTTTGATACCGATTTTCGTCGATCTCAACTGTGTTTGCGCATTGTACGTTCCACGGCAATCCTTGGTTGCCACTGGGTGATATCAGTACGCGGCAGTTTACGTTTAAGTGAAATTAATTGCGTCGGTTCCACATAGGAATTCGGGCTACTAATGATGTTACAGTACAGTGGAAATCAGCACGAAATATGTGCATGATCATTCACCTTGCTTCGTCATTTTCTTCAGTTTTCAAATGACTGAATCTCGTTAACGGGATGCAAGGTATTGCTATTCCACTCGGTTTATTCAGAAATTGATTTTATTCATGTTTTTTCTTGGGAAACCTGTCTCATACTATGTTTTACGCGGTACAGACAACGACATTCATAATTGGAATCGTGTCTTCAAATACCGACACACTGCTCATAATATTGCAGTGAAAACACAATGTGTATTATCCAGCAATTCAATTTTCTACTTCGCATTACCATAATCTTTTCATATCAAAAATTCTATTGGGGGAAGGTGGTTAGTGTTCCACTCCTCGATGAGCATCACTTGGTTGTCGTTTCAACATAGGCATTCATAGATTGCGACTGAGACGCAGTTGGACATATCCTTTACCAAAGCTTCACGACTCCATGCATGAAGCTTGCCCATTGGATTTCATTTTAACAGGAAATAGGAATAGCCCGAAACGGTTTGGCTGGATTGGAACGAGGTTCTTTTTGACCAAGTCGCTATTGCTTGTTGATTATATTCGGACTCAGCTATTTTCTTGCAATGTATTGTTTCTTTGGTGCGCGTTGCAAACTCGTGACACAATGACGGTTAGACTAGAACCAGCTACTTCAATCAGCTTACTTGACTATCTTTCAAAGTGCACTATATATAAAGATAAAAACAATCCCACCCGCTAACATCAATCAGCACTGGCTGCTCATGAACAACGCTCTACATCTTGTCAATCTAGTGAGTTGTGACCAGACATTCTGTCGTGACACACTGCATTCTGGCTGAGTCGCTGTGCCTTATAGACACGCTGGTGAATCCCGGTTGCTAGAGAACAACGCAAAAAAATTGGTAATGTGGTAGGCAGCTTTACTGTCGTCCGGTTCAATATTACGGCTAACATAGTGGGTTATTATGTGATTTGCCACTGCAAGTCCCGGGGCTTAGCTTACCGGTTTCCATGACGGAGCAGCAGGTCTCCGTGCCTATGGGGTTTACCCTGTCTGCTGTTCACGCACAAATGTATGTAAGAAAAAAAGAGACTCAGTTTTGTCCTTCGTGATAGTTTCTAGGGCTCTGTCGCGGTCACCAAAGATCAACGATATTAGTTTTCGTCGACATCTATATGCTCCCCTGTTCCATCAATAAGTCTTCATTATGTAGTACTTTATTGAGAAATGGAGTGTGAGGAGCATAGCCATCAAACCATTACTTGGCGTTGGGATACGGAAAAGTAAGCTCCATTAGCTTGTTAGAGACGCTGATATGCATGGCTCAGAATCGATTTAGTACAGCCCGACTGCTAATATCCTGTGCCCAATGGACCCAGAGCGAAAACATCAAAAATCTCTTATACATATCCTCACTTAGTATTGTAACCTGAATACATCAGTCAGTGCAGCACGAAAGAGGAAATTTATGCATTCTCTTTTTTGGAACCAGTGGTTCATTTCGATTTCTTACTGTGCAATGGCACGTTTCTCTGGCAGTTAAACAACAGGAGGAGTAATGTAACAAGCGATAGTAATCAAAGAGAAGTAGAAATGGTTTTGTATCCTTCACCCTACTTTTTTATTCATAACTGTTGGTCCGTAGGGATTCACCTCTACCCAGATTTTGATCTAAGGCTATGCGATTCACTTATCTTTGTTCACCCCTGTCTGATCGCATTGTTTAAATTGATGCATACTTGTGCCTAATATACTCCCATAACTTACATTTCCAACCTGTAATCTTTCATTTCGCACTTCCCACAGACTGCTAGGCCCTGCTTACTGGCGAGTCCTTATTCGTTCGGAACTGCCAGTAATCAAATTCCCGCGTCATGATCATCATCATCTACAGTATCCTCTTCACTCACGGCCGCCCAACTTCTACTCACATACGATAGTCTGTGTTTTTACACAAAACCTCTTTCTGCCTTCTTGTCTCATTTGTGTATTTTTGTAATTATTTTCTCCGGAACCTATATGATTGTTCTCATTTGGAAATACAAATGTGACCTCAGCTAGAGGAGTATTGATGTTGTCCACGCACGCGTGCCGATCGTAAACCGACCCACCGACCGACCGACTGACTGACTGAATGATTGAATTACACCGCGGCCCATGTTATCATTTTCAATATCTGATTCTATTTCCCGTCCTGTCCAGACATACGCACAAGTAGTTCCTCGATTGCGGACGTAGCATGGCTCTCTGGCTCTCTGCTTCATACATATAGAATTGGTACAGCTTTCTGTCTTCTATTCCCTCGTTACGTTCTGAAGTCAGATAAACAAATCCAGATTTCCGTTAAGATTATTTCCCCGCCTCGTCCTATGACACTCTCCCGTGACCCGGTCCTGTGTCGCTTGGCCAGCTGTTCTTCCTACTGGGCTCTTTCACACCGGCACTTTATCTGGTTCTGTCTTTTTCTAATACACACAAAGTTCTGCAACGCATCTCCTACTCTCCAATAACAACTGCTTGCGTATCGTCAGCCCTGCGCTGCCACATCGTCATACTATTCATCTATTGCGCTGACTTAGTGAATATTTTCTACTTGCTTACAAGCTTACTTATTATCAACTTTTCAGTCTGAACTCTCTAACTGCTTCATCTATTATAGGGTCTTCATTTACAATGATAATTTCTCTTCCGAATCGGATCTGTTGAAGAAACTTTGAGATTGTTCGTTATGAAAACAAAACTCATTCTGTGGTTTGATGTGTGCGTATGATTTTCTCAAAGGATTTAGATATACAACCATTAACCCGAACACTAATACTGAATAAGAGTACTGTCAAATTTCGGTTTGCTTATCACTTGTGATTTTCATGTCTATTCGCGTCCGATTTATCCCTTCTAGTCAGCTTCCCCCCTTTGGTTTGTATGCGAGTCAGTTTCCCATAATTATATTAACAATGCAGACAAACCTCTCCGGGTACTTACTTTCATTTTATGTCAACTATCTGGCCAGTCTCTTCCCGCATCTCCCGTCTCCGTTGTTACAGTTCATACCGACTTGGCCCCCACCCGTCTCACTTCCATCACTGTTCTTATTCTCCCATTCAGCCCCGGTTCGGTGTTGTCCTTTCTCATGTTGTTATCGTTGTTGTTCTCTTGGTTCACTTTATATTCCCTAAATATCCACCAACTATTTTTTGTGGTAACTCCTAATTCATATCTTCGAGTATTGCACGCTCCACTCACTTCCTATGTTAATAAACAGTGCGCCTGTCTGGGAAACTCATTTTGTCGATGCTCGAGGTCGTTCCCAGCTCTGAACTAATTCTGATTCTTTGCAAACTCCACTCCGTCCCGTGGACAACAGTAGCCCTATTGAAGAGTGCACATGTATCTACCAGCCTGTTTTGTTTTCGCTCACTCTTCATCAGTCCCCAGTTACCCACCAATTTCTTTCTCTTGTTCTTTTTTTGTGGCATACTCTATTCCGCGGTATATTTGAATTGGCCGAATCACTGTATCATACGGTTTTTCGCGTGTTCTCACGTTATTGATTTATTCATTTTTCTTGTTTGAACTGTTTTCTTTTGTTTTCCTGCTGGGGTTTGCTTGTCCGCGACGTGTCAACACTTAGTGATTCGCGTAGATGATTTTTGCTAGTGGGAAC